TTCGCGGGGTTTAAAGATGGTCAGTCTTTGTTAAAGACAGTTATAGTGTTATTGATGGATATCCAACCGCCTATAATAGGTGTAGAAAAATATGCGTAAACACTTGTGGGTTTTAGTTTAAATTCCACTTCGTCATTCTATTTGGAAACAGAATTTGTTTAGTAAAAATATGCTTGAGGTAAGTTAAGGAAAATATGAGGAAAAGAAATGAGTAATTCAGCGACAGATTAAAGGAGGAGAAGATCTTTGTATGCGACAGGTAATGGAGCTTCTCTCAGTGCTGTGCACATTGGTTTTAGAAAATGACAGGTACTCACTGAAAGAACCTCGTAGTATCAATCCAAATATTAGCGTTTCTGAGGGCCAATGTCTTTTTTTCAGTTAGGAGGACAGTGAGGAAGTTAAGCTTTGCTTGAGAAAGTTTGCGGCGCAAAGTTTTTAGAGTCATTTGCTTTTCAAATCTAATGTTTTCAGAGTAGAAAACTATACGTATGGTTTGAATTAGAGTGAATTTTTGCTACAGATGAGTTTATTTTCTAAATAGCAGTTCTGAAGGTATAATACGAACTGCATGGAAATCTGATGTTTTGTTAAGTCCTTTTAAGGACATTTTTGCAGACGTTTTTGGTGTGATTAATTTGTTGAAAATTTGAGTCATTTTGTTACCCTGCACAAACATTTAGTCTCCAAGTTAAAGAAAGGTTGTTTAAACACTAATTGCCTATACTTCAATTTAATAAATTTTCTTTCAAAATTTTATTCGTACCATGTCTAGTGTAAATTAAGTAGTACCAGGCTTATTTTTGTAACTACATTTCTTGGTCTTAGCTTTACAGGGTTCCAGAATCAGCGTAGGGGGTTCTCTGTAATGTTTAATTTGCTCACCTTCTACTTTACTTTCGCTGTCAGGCTTCTGTTAGGTATTCTTTTTATAAATGCCTTTAAGTTTACGGAGTAGGTTGTTCTTAGTTAGTTTTCGTTGCTTCAGAAAAAAGAAAATGGAGTCTGAAATTGCAAGACCTACTACCGCTTCAAATACACTTCTTGGTGATTCAAGTTCTGAATTAATGGGAGTTTATAAACCACGTACACAAGAGACAAAACTAACCTATGAAGCAATTCTTGCCTATATTCAGGATGCACTTGGAGACCAGGTGAAGCAAAAATCCATTTTCAAGTTTTTTGTTATTAAATAGTTGCCAAAAATTTATTTTTTTTTATTACTAGATATTTTCGATTCTCAGGTTTTTGCATGGCTTTGTTCAGTTTTGAAGTATCTATTTTCTTCAGCCTTGTGAGATTTTGTGTGGGGCAGCTGACGAGGTACTTGCCGCTCTTAAATCTGACAAAATACGAGAAAAAGAAAGAAAGAAGGAAGTTGAAATGCTTCTTGGCTCATTAACTGATGAAAGATTCGCTGTTCTTATGAATTTGGCGAAAAAAATCACTGATTTCACAATTGAGGATGATAAAACCAAATATGATAATGTGAGTTTTTGGAACACAAATTTTTTAATCTCCAGGTTTCTGAGACCAGGGTGGTATGTTTTATGATTTTTCTTCTGTTTAGCAAGATGAAATAGATGATGTTATTGGCGTAAATGTGCAATTTGATGATTCTGATGAAGAGGGAGAAGGTGAAGAGGGGATGGAAGATGAAGTTAAAGAAGAAGCATCAGACGGTGAAGAAGGTGGTGTCGAAGCGGTTTACGAAGAAACGCTCCGCGCTGGCTTGTTAGAAGATGAGGTATCTAATATAATTCTAGCTGGTAATCTTAATCAATTTTGTATTTATTAAATTATTTGTTTCTTCTTTTTTTATTGTGCTTTCTGGAACATTCCTGTAAACTTTAACATATTGAGGAGAGTGGGAATAGTGCGAGGAAAGGTACTTTGCGAGCACGAGACATCGATGCGCATTGGATTCAAAGGTCACTCTCCAAGTTCTACAATGACCCCATAGTCGCGCAACAGAAAGTGAATGAAGTCTTACACATTCTCAAGGTTTGTAATTCTTTAATTAAGGACTCTTGGAAGGTTTCGTTTCAGTTCTACCGGGCTTGCTTTGTTGGGCGGAGAATCATCTCTTTCCAAGTTTGGAAAAAAGGGGACCGAAATGCTATTTTTTTCTAGGGTCTGGAATGCTGGAAGGGAAGAGGACAGACGAATTTGTAAAGTTTAAGCAACTGCAGAAATTAAATTCTTTTTCCAATTTATTTAGTGGCCTTACTTTTTAGAGGAGGGATATAATAGATGAATTTTCCTCAACTGAAACCACAATTGGGAATAAAACTTTAGTTTACTGCAGCAATTTTGGACATCCTTTTAGAAAATGAGAGGGTAATCAATAGGTAAGGCAGAAAATGAGATTTTGAGCCATTTAAGGTTGGTAGAAGTATCTTTTGAAGAAAGGTTTTGGCACTCTGTTAAGGCGTTAAGCCTAATTCCTCTCTTTTATTGTTGTAAAACAAACTTTTTCATTGTTATAAAGCAAATTTGGAAAGTTTCTTTTGGTGCGGATTTTTTACCATGATAACTAAAGTCATTCAACTGTGTTCCTGCAAAGAGCTTCCTACTTTCTTTTAGCAAAAAAGTTGTTAAAAATTGCAGAGGGAAGCTGGGAGGGAAGTGACCGCAAAATTTTCCATTTTTGAAGTGAAAGCCTCGAATAGTAGCCATGGTTTAAACTGTACTTTTTACGACCACAAGATGAAGCTGAAAGTTGCTTTAATATTTCAGGATGCTGCTGACGATCGTGACTGTGAAAACCAATTGGTTCTTTTACTTGGATTTGATCAGTTCGAATTTATTAAAGTTCTAAGACAGCATCGGCAGCTAGTTTTGTACTGTACGCTGCTAAAACAAGCTCAGGAAGGTAAGGAGCGGGAAAATATAGAGAGGGAAATGCTTGCTCGGCCGGAACTTCATTCGATTCTTGCTGAATTACAGGAAGCACCTGACAGCGCTGATATCGTTGAGGTATTTCGTCGTTGAATTCAATGCGTCGATTATTTACTTTTTTCGTTACAATTTAATCTTACAGTCGGAAAGAGAGAAGCGAGCACGTGCTCAGCAGCAGCGCCGCACTGCTGAGGCACAAGGTGCAGGTGACGAAACAACTTCAGCTGGTAACTGGCTTCAGTCACGAAAAGTTTTGGATCTTAATGAACTTGCTTTTTCCCAAGGTTCCCATTTTATGGGCAATAAGGCAAGAGTTATTGTTACTTCTTTGGTATCTTCGTGGTTCTAAATTTTCTGGACATATTTTTATTTAGTAAACAAGCAAAGATTTCTTCTTTAACAAATAATTTAATATTATTGTTCGCTTAAACTAAGGTATTTAAAATAATTTGTCATTAAAACATCTATTTCAGTTGTTATCTGCTCTTCTAATTTTACTCAAGAAAGCAAGACGTTAATTTTTTCTTTCTTACTTTTAATTTTTTTATCGGCTTCGTGCGTTTAAATTACTATCACTTACTACATTTTTAGCGGTGCCATTTACCCGATGGGTCTTACAGAAAACAGAAGAGGAACTTTGAGGAGGTCTATGTTCCTGCTTTAAAACCTAAACCTTTCGAAGAGAACGAGGTTTATTTAAGTTTTTAAAATTTTCTTTACGAACCAGTTGCGGTAGTCGTATTACTTTGGAAATATTTTTCTTTTAGGATTTCTTTTTATTCCTGATTATAATATTATGTCTTTTCAGAAACTTATTCCTGTTGGAGACTTACCTAGATTCGCACAGCCTGCGTTTGCTGGTATGAAAACTCTCAATCGTATCCAGTCTCGTTTGTGTGAAACCGCCTTAAAATCGGACGAACATCTTTTGCTGTGTGCTCCTACGGTATAACAAACATGTTTGTCAGAAAACTTACATTTTAAATAGATTACCATGCGAAAGATTGTGTCACAAACAGTGCTTTTTTATGTTTTGTTTCGACAATTGAGTAGGATGTTGTGTAACGAAATGGCCAATATGTAGGCAGGTTTAAAATTGGCGGGTAACAGTAGAACACCTCATCTTGGAAGGAAGGAGTTTATGTACTATATATTTCTCAGAGGCAAATAAAAAATGGTTTCTGCAAAACACTGATAAAGGTCGTAGGTGGAGAAGATAATTGAAGGATGAATGTAGATAACGCGTTAGTTATTGTTTGATTTGAATTTAAGATCGCTACCTCACCAGCAATTCTGGATTGATTGGAATTTGAGTTGCTGTGGAACAATTAATCCAATCCTCTTCAAATTTATTAGCTATATTTCTTGAAAATGGTGATGCATTTTGTTTAATTTTTAGTAGTGTCTGCTGCTCTTTCATTTTAGTTGAGTTTTTCTGTGATTTTTCGGTCTTAAAGGCTTTTTGTTGAACGCTTGTTTATTTCTTCAAGAAGGGGGTGCTTCGGTTGCATTTTAAGTATTATTCAACGCTGTACGTGGGTCATGGGCTTGTACATCTTTTAGTTTTTTGTCTCTTTGTTCCTTTGTTCTTTTTTAAATCTAGTACTACTCGGTTAAGAGTGAAGACTTGGTAGCTGCGTAGAAATATTTTATATTTTGAAAGCCACTTACTCAGCACGTGGAGGTCGCAATTCAAGATTAAACTTGGAAGGTATTTGTTTTTTTTTTTCTCAATTTGATTTGGATATTTGCTTTAGAGGCAGGACACTTTATGGAGCTTGTAAGAAGAGTTGCTTATGAAAAAAAGTTAAAGTTTATTAGGTTTTTGCAGTTCCTATAAATGCTAATTTTATTATGGCATTTGGACAGATGCGTTAAAAACCCGGCTATTGTTTTTGGAATAGCATACTATATGTGTACGAGAAGTTTATTTTCATTAAAGTTGATATATATCACCCTTGGAAAATACTGCAAAAGTTACCTAGACAACAGACAGATTTTTCAGATTTAGCTTTGCCTGGTGTTTGACACTCAAATGTTAAATTGCTGATGTAGCATTTTCCTAAAAAAGAAGGTGAAAGCTTTAGTTGTTTAGGGTGCCGGCAAGACGAACGTTGCGCTTTTGTGTATTTTGAGGGAAATTTCAAAGCATATGAACGATGACGGTAGCGTAAGATTGGATGAGTTCAAATGCGTTTATATTGCTCCTATGAAATCCTTAGTACAAGAAATGGTTGGCAGTTTCGCAAAAAAGCTTGAACCATACAGGATTACGGTAATTGTCATTTTTTTTAACAACTATGTTTTAAAACACCACTATGAAATACTGACGTACTGACCATGGTCGATGAATTTACTACTTATTCAGGTTGGTGAGATGACTGGTGATCAGCAGATGAACAAAGAGCAATTTATGCAAACCCAGGTTATAGTCTGTACCCCCGAAAAGTATGATATAGTGACCAGAAAAGGTTGGTTTTTTACAAGTATATTTGATTAAGTTTTTTGGTTTTTTTGCGATTACTTGGTCTTTTTTTTTAGGTGGAGAGCGTGCTTACAATCAGTTGGTTGGACTTCTAATTATTGATGAAATTCATCTTTTGCATGACAGTCGAGGCCCAGTTTTAGAGGCTATAGTAGTTAGGCAAGTTGCACGATTTTTACCATTCAGTGTGTCGCATTTTTGCTCAATTGTTAGTCCTCCATTTTTTAAGAACTCTTCGGCAAATGGAGCAGAACCATGAAGAATGTCGCTTGGTTGGATTGTCAGCAACGCTTCCGAATTATCAGGATGTTGGGGCATTCTTACGAGTCAAACCGAAGAACTTGTTTTACTTTGACAACAGTTATCGACCAGTACCTTTAGAACAGCAGTATATTGGCATTACGGAGAAAAAGGCTTTGAAAAGATTTCAGACAATGAATGAGGTTGTGTACGAAAAGGTCATGGAACACGCTGGAAAAAGCCAGGTGTGTTTATATATATATTTTCTTTCTTTTTTTCTGCCTCTTGCTTCACAGTTTACTTGTTAGCTCGCGTCATTTTTTAAGTTAAAAGCAGGATTGGACTATGGACTTATTTATGCCCTATAAGAATACAATGGTAAATCGAATGCTAACTAAAACTGTATTTAAGCTTAACTGGAACAGTTTTATTTTAGTTTTTATAATATTTGGATGCTTAGGATATCGGACCTAGTCACGTAGCACAATAACGAAAGGCAAAATATTTCAAATTAACTAATTTGTTAAGGGTTATGATATTTTGACGGCTTAGAGACAATAGTTTTGACCTCTTAGTACCAAAATCACTGGAGTTGCCTCATTTTTGCACCTTTCAATTGTTATAATAGCATTCTTGTTTAGGTACTAATATTTGTTCACTCACGCAAAGAGACTGCTAAAACTGCAAAGGCCATTCGTGACGCATGTTTAGAAAAAGATACCCTGAGTGCTTTCATGAAGGAAGGTAGCGCAAGCACGGAAATATTGAGGAGCGAGGCATCGCAAGTTGGTTGTTAAATACACTTGTTTTGAATTCTGCTATAGATTACTAGTCGCGACGATACTTATGGCCAAGGATTTTGTGTTTATCTGCACCAGTGGTTTTATTCTTGCTGAAATGTTTTTTGGAAATATTTATTCAGATATTAACAGAAATGATTAATTGTCTTGTATAAAGTTATTATTTTTTACTGATTATGAGTAATTTTCAGGTTGCAAATACTGATTTGAAGGATTTGATGCCTTATGGCTTTGCTATTCATCATGCTGGTATGAATCGTGTTGATCGTACACTCGTTGAAGATTTGTTTGCCGATCGCCATTTACAAGTGCGTTTGTTTCATGTGTTAAGTAGTCTTGGCTGTGGTTTTCTATCTAGTCATAAAAGAAGGGTGAAAAGTTAAGATATAGACTTCTACACTTGTAGGTGCTTGTTTCCACCGCCACTCTTGCATGGGGCGTCAATCTGCCAGCTCATACTGTCATAATCAAAGGAACTCAAGTATACAATCCAGAACTGGGTCAATGGACTGAGTTAGGCGCTTTGGATGTTATGCAGGTGAAAATTTGGCTTTATTTTATTTGTCCACTTTTATCGTTATTTTTTTTTTTTGTTTTTGTTTTAAGATGCTTGGACGTGCTGGGCGGCCCCAATACGATTCTAAGGGGAAGGGGATTTTAATTACTCATCACTCAGAGTTACAGTATTACCTCTCTCTTATGAACCAACAGGTAGATGGCATTTTCTCTTTCATATAGTTTTGGAAACCGGCGTAGAGTTGTTTTATTCAGTTTTTATCTAGTCGCTGACTGTATCTAACGGGCATCTGTCAACACAATCTTTTATTTAGCTTCCCGTCGAAAGCCAAATGATTGCGAAACTGCCTGATATGCTTAATGCTGAGATTGTTTTGGGAACGATTAATAATGTTAGTGATGCAATGAATTGGTTGGGGTATACTTACTTGTATGTCCGGATGATCAAATCTCCCAGCCTTTATGGGATCTCGCAAGAGAAAGCGGTGTGTTACCTTACCTATATTTGGAGCTAAATACCTTATTTTAAAGGGAATTAGATCTCATTGTAATTTCTTACTATATGCATTCTCGGTTTTAAGAAGTCGGATCCATTGTTAGAACACCGCAGAGCTGATCTTATTCACACTGCTGCCATGCAATTAGATAAAGGGAATTTGATCAAGTATGAAAGGAAAACTGGCCTGATACAGGTCTCATCTTTTTCTCAAATACCATTCTTCCACTTGTTTTTCTTTTTACCGCTTCTCTTTCGAGGTATTGAATTAATAAAGTTTAATGGTAGCATCCATTTCGTTTTTCAGGCTACAGAGCTTGGTCGTATTGCTTCTCATTTTTACTGTACTTATGAGACGATGCAAACTTACAATTCCCTCTTAAAAAATACAGCTAGCGAAATTGATCTGTTTCGCATCTTTTCAATGTCTTCTGAATTCAAGCAAATTATGGTTCGGGAAGAAGAAAAACTAGAGTTACAGAAGTTGGCTGAACATGTTCCCATTCCCATCAAAGAAAGCCTAGAAGAAAGCTCGGCGAAAGTAAATGTGCTTTTGCAGGTTACTTACCTTCTTTTCTTTTTTAATTTTATTGGCTAAGTGCTTATCTCTCAACTCGTTTATCTTTTTTTTCAGGCATACATTTCCCAGCTAAAACTGGAAGGCTTTGCATTACAAAGTGACATGGTTTTCATTAGTCAATCGGCGGGCCGCCTCTTTCGTGCACTGTTTGAAATCGTACTGTGGAGGGGTTGGGCTCATTTGGCACAAGTATCCTTTCGCATTTCTTGAGACCACATAACTGATTATAACGCTTTCATTGTTTTTGATTGAAGGCTGTTTCAGAAGGTGCTCAAAGTATGTAAAATGGTTAATGCTCGCCAGTGGCAGTCATTGAGCCCTCTACACCAGTTTAAGAAATTACCGTCCGAGGTACTTTGCTATAAGAGATATCATAGTTTAGCTTTCAGTATCTTCTTTTCACTTGAGATTTTCAGATTGTAAGGATCATTGATAAGAAAAATTTTCCTTTCGAAAGGTTGTATGACTTGGACCAGCACCAGTTAGGGGAGCTAGTAAAAATGCCGAAAATGGGAAAACCACTTTATAAATTTATACGTCAGGTTTGGTTTTTGGATCCTGAAATCATATTAAGATTTATTTTTTCAACAGTATTTTTGGGATTCACGTTAATGCAAATGATGTTCTTTTTTTTAGCTGCCCAAGCTGGAACTCACTACTCTCATTCAACCAATAACTAGAACTACTCTGCGTATTGAATTAACAATAACCCCTGATTTTCAGTGGGACGAACGAGTACACGGTACTTTGGATTCTTCCTGAGAATGATGTCTATACTCTTAACTTTTTTGCTGGTTTTGTTTTTTGTATTCTTTCCACTACAAGTTTATTTCATCTCAGCATATAACTTTTATTGAGTTATAGGAAGCGCTGAAGGTTTTTGGATTTTCATCGAGGATGTAGACGGAGAGTTGATTTTGCACCATGAGTATTTTCTGCTTAAGCAGAAGTTTTGTGAAGATGAACATTTGGTTAAGATGTTTGTGCCAGTATTTGATCCATTGCCACCTCTGTATTTCATCAGAGTTGGTTAGTTTTTTCTCTATGTAGTATTCATTTTATCCAAATTTTCGTTTTTCTAATTATGTGGAATCATTTTCATCTTTTTTCGGACGCTTTTTCTAACTATTATTTGAAGGCTTGGGACATATTATTATCATCGCTATTTTGTCAACTATTTTCATTGCTTCTCGAAGCCAATGCAGCCAAAAAACCAATTTAAAGATTTAGGAGGCTTGTTTTTTGTACTTTTCAAATTTTTTTGTTTATTACTTTAATCGCTTTAGTGTCTGACCGTTGGCTAGGGAGTGAAACTGTTCTGCCAATTTCATTCCGGCATCTTATTCTTCCCGAAAAGTACCCTCCGCCCACAGAACTTTTGGATTTACAGCCGCTACCACTTTCAGCCCTAAATAACAAGCAGTTCCAGTCGGTATTCGAAATGAAAAAAATCAAAGAGTTTAACGCAATCCAGACTCAAGGTCTTTAAACACTTTCCACGGTATTTTTGACCTCTCACTAGGATTTGAAGAGTATTTTTAGAGTTATTTCTATGTTTGTAGTTTTCCGTACTGTTTATGAGAGCAGCGATAATGTTTTTATTGGTGCACCGCAGGGGAGTGGTAAAACCGTTTGTGCAGAATTTGCTATACTTCGTTACTTTGATAATAATCCTGACGGTAAAACAGTTTATGTCACTCCTATGGAGGATTTGGCTAATAAGGTACATATAAATGAACATTTTATTCTTGGGTTTTGGAATACTAGCAGGCAAATGAAAAAGTTTATTAATAATCATCCTCACATTTTATTTTTTAAGGTTTATGAAGATTGGAAGACAAGGATTGGAGAAGTTCTTAACAAAACGGTTGTAATACTGACTGGAGAGCCGTCTACTGATTTGAAATTATTACAACGAGGGAAATTAATTGTTGCAACTCCTGAAAAATGGGATAACATAAGCAGACGATGGAAACAACGCAAAAACGTTCAAGCAGTGAAGCTGCTTATTGTGGATGATTTGCACATGATCGGAGGAAGCAGTGGGGTTAGATTTTAAATTATTGACCAACGTTGTAGGCATTTTTTTGAAACGTAGCATAATTTAGCCGGTGCTAGAAGTGATATGTTCGCGTATGCGTTACATGTCCTCTCAACTTGACTCACCTGTTCGAATTGTTGCCTTATCCTCATCGCTAACAAATGCTCGCGACATCGGGCAGTGGTTAGGATGTCATTCTCAAGCGACTTTCAATTTTGCGCCTAATTGTCGGCCACTGCCATTGGAGCTCTTCATACAGGTTTGTCACGCTATCAGCTCTTGTTCAACAAAATAGATGATTAACTTCGGGTCAGTCTAGGGTTTCAATTTATCACATACTGCTTCACGTCTGGCTGCAATGGTGAGACCTGTGTACGCAGCAGTATTACGCCATGGCGGTAAACTCACACCTCGACCAGCGCTTATTTTTGTTCCCAGTAGGAGGCAGTCGCGATCGACTGCAGTGGATATGCTAACGATGGCACACGCAGATAGCCAGCCGAAGCGTTTTCTTCATATCAATCCTGAAGAACCAACTTTCGTCAAATTACTGGATGCCGTACAAGTACTGTGTTTCCGATATATCATTAAAACTCAAGGTGTTTTACGCGTTCTGTTTATCCTGCTTTCCGCAGAAAGTGTTGCGCTTTTCAGAAGTTAATTTTATCCTTTACTAATTAGCAGTTTATTCTAGTGGTTGCATCCTTTTGGAACACTTGAGTTTTTCTTCTAAAAATATTGTAAAAACACGACAATGCAACACGTAACTAACTATTTATATGCAAAGGAGGAGAGCTTCCTGGCAGTCTTTTTTTCTATGGATTTTATACGTGAAGTAGCTCTGTGAAAGGGAGATGCTGGGGTTAAATTGTTTAATGCAGAGTACAAGTGTAGTTTTAATGGTTGTCAACCAAATGAAAGATGAATTCAGTGTATTGCCTAGAAACCTGTTTAGGTATTTTGTTGTCAAATAGTAAAATTATCCGTAGTTTTCATTGAGTCACATCTTGGTTTCTAACTGGCTCTGAACCGCTAATGGAGAACCTAAACTCAAACCATATTGATGTTTATCCGGGTCTTTTTCTTTCGTGTTAGAGTTCCAACTTCCAGTTTAAGTATCTGCTATAAAAATGTCTCAGCTCTGCTTCTAGGACCAGACGTTAAAAGAAACTTTGGCTTGCGGTGTGGGATTTTTGCATGAAGGTATTTCTCGAAAGGACATGATTATAGTGGAACAGCTTTTTGAGAGCGGCGCAGTTCAGGTGACCTTTACGGCTTTTATTGATTGGGTTTTTTTCACGTATCGTCAAAATTTACTTGCCAACCCTTATTTTTTGAAGCCATTCATTGTTCTCACAGTTCAGGTTTGCATCGCCCCCCGTTCGATGTGTTATCAAATTTCAATTTCTGCTTATGTTGTGATAATCATGGATACTCAATATTATAACGGCAAATACCACGTTTATGAAGACTATCCGATTGGCGATGTTCTTCATATGGTTGGTCTGGCTAACCGTCCCACCGTCGATGATGATGGTCGGTGTTTTCAATTTTTTAATGAATTGTTGCCAAGTGCGGTAGGCTATCAAGCAGTTTGGAACATAGTAAGTTCCAAAGTACTTTGAAACATTGCTTAAAAATTAGTTTGCTGCAGCGAAGTGCGTACTGTTGTGCCAGTCGTCGAAAAAAGATTTCTTCAAGAAGTTTTTGTACGAGCCACTACCGGTTGAGTCTCATTTGGACCATTGCTTGCATGACCACTTCAATGCCGAAATTGTGACGAAAACGATAGAAAATAAACAGGATGCAATTGATGTTTGTTACTTCATGAGTATTAAGGAGTTCATAATGAACGGTAAAGCAGAACTGCCATTTTTCGCATAGTATTTTTTTTCAGTATCTTACGTGGACTTTGCTATATCGCCGTATGACGCAGAACCCAAACTACTATAATTTACAAGGGGTTACCCACAGGCATCTCTCCGATAGCCTTTCGGAACTGGTTGAAAACACATTAAAAGATTTAGAGGAGTCTAAATGTATCGCCATCAAAAACGACATGGACACGTACCCAATGAACCTTGGCATGATAGCTGCTTATTACTACATTTCTTACACCACCATTGGTTAGTGGTTGTCTGACTTCACTCTTGAATTTTATATATTATTAATTGATGCATAAGGCTTATTCTATTACAGAGGTATTCAGTATGTCGCTAGAAGCAAAAACGAAGCTCCGAGCACTTATTGAAATCATTAGCAATGCTACTGAGTTTGAGAACATGCCTATCCGTTATAAAGAGGATACGATTTTGAAGCAACTTGCAGAACGCTTACCAAACATTAAGGAGCTACAAAAGCACCCGAAATTTACCAGCCCGCACTTTAAGGTTTCTTCTGTTCTTTAACACACTTTTGGCTCGGGATCTGCTGTTCCACTCTTCTAAATAGATTTATTCAAGGTCAATTTATTAATGCATGCGCATCTTTCGCGAATACAGTTGTCTGCGGAGCTCAATAAGGATACCGAAGTAGTAGTTCTTAAAGCAATTCGACTGGTCCAGGCATGTGTGGATGTTCTTAGCAGGTTTTATTTAGTCACATTCATACTGCCAGTTTAGTTTCGCTAGAGCTCACATTGTTAAATTTTTCAGCAGCGGATGGCTCTCACCTGCTATACACGCTATGGAGCTGTCGCAGATGTTAACACAGGCGATGTACACAAGCGAGTCTTACATGAAGCAGCTCCCGCATTGCACTCCGGCACTGTTAGAAAGGTGTAAAGAAAAGGTTAGTTATGGTTAAATTTTCAGAAACTTAATTATTCACTGATAACACGTTGGGAGTTAACACTTGCTGATAATTCCTTTCAGAATGTCTCTTCTATTTTTGACCTCTTGGATTTGGAGGATGATGTCAGGGCAGATATTTTACAAATGAACCCTCCCGAAATGCTGAATGTCGCAACATTCTGCAACAACTACCCAAGCATAGAAGTGGATTATTCCATAAACAACGAGGGCACCATTACAGTGTAATTCTTTAAAGAGTCGTGTTGGAGTTGTGCCACTTTATTTTCAATTGTATATGGATTTCCTTTTCTCAATCATATTGTAGTCGCATAATTTAGTGGTGACACCGTTAGCGTCACTGTAAAGATGGAACGGGAGAATGACGAAGACGGCATGGCTCCTCCAGTATTTGCTCCTCTCTTCCCTCAGAAGCGGAAAGAGGAAGGTTGGTGGCTAGTCATCGGGGACCCAACGACGAATACTTTATATTCCATAAAGAGGTATTTTACACACCAGCAATCTTCTTCAAACTCTTCCTCTTCTTTTGTTTATCACATGAGGACTTTAATTTTAACCTTTTTAAAGGCTTACGGTGCAGCAGGAAGCGAAGATGACGTTGGACTTCACCGCTGCACAGGCTGGCAAAATGCATTATAAACTGTACTTCATATGCGATTCCTACTTGGGTGCCGATCAGGAATTTGATTTGAAATTCCGTGTTGAAGGTCCTAATTCCTCTTCTTTGCACCATTTTACGCCTATTTGCCTTTCCTTTCAATTGCTAAATGAGTGTTTTAAGAGCATGGAAGGAGCAGGAAAAGACCAAGGGATGACGACTGATTTCTGCTATTGGGCTGTGATAATGGACCTCCAGTTTCAGATCTCTGTATTATATGCAACGTATTTGTTAACCGGATGTTTGCGGCTGTCATTTTGGTGCATAGTGTTTTATTGAGGACATATTGGTTGTTAAACTGCAAAACTTGTTTCGTTCAATAGCTTGAATTTATGTTGGTATTTCCATCTCTTTTGAGACATCTTATTAAAGATAATATCGATTATTAGCCAAAGAATCAAATCTTTAAGTAGTAAAGAAATGGCAGGATGCAACTCTCAATGCTGCACTTGTGTTATACTTCTTAACTGCGGAGTAGAACACTTCGCACCGAAAATAATCAAGAGGGACTATCTGCATTAGTTGATCTGAAAAGGGAAGAGCAGAAATAGGCATTGAACCGTTAAATTTTGTAGAAAAAATACAAGCAAAAATTATTCACCTTCTCCTGAGCAGCTACTTTCTAATTGCAGAAGACAGTTTGCTACGCATTCATTTCTTGGCGTACACTGAAAATCCAAAAGCAGTTTTCAAGACTTGTTTGAATGCCATCCACAAGTTGCATGACAACCAATAAATAAATCCACCTATGCTTCATCTCGGATATACTTGAAGCAACTTACGTGCCCTTTGCATGATACTTTCACGGAAGCTGAAGCATCCAGCTCGATGAGGACCTCTCCAAAAAGCAGACTCATTACCACCAATATAGAGGCAGTATAACGGGACAAAATTAAACCACTTTTCATGCTGTAGCAAACCTAAAAGAAATTGAATAAAAGCTCAGTGATTCTTAACGCAACCCGAGTATCCCAGTGAATCAAGATGACATCCTTTCAGAACCAACGAAACCTTTACAGAAACTTCAATTGCAAGTACCGGAGCACTGCCTGAAAAGACGAAATCTAACTTCGAGGAAGTACGGCTCAAAGGTGCACAATTTTCTTAATATTCGAATCCAGTCTAGGCGTGTTTCAAGATGGAAAATTTCAGTTTTCATACAGGAATCCCCTTCCTTTGAGCAGCGAACTTCGAAAGAACTTTCCTGGCAAATGTCGCAAACATCCTTATATTCCTAAATAATATTCAGAAATGAGCAAATAAACGTAACTCACGCTGATGACAATTGTCGAAAAACTGTCTTTCATCTTCCTTGCTTCTGATCTTATTGAGTTCGCTATGATTACTTCATTGGAGCACAGTTCCACAACCAACCACTTACAGTTTCTGCTCAAGGCCAACCTCAATGAGGTCCTACCTCAGTAGACGTGCCGGTTACTTGCGGTTTCCACAATTTCCCCCTCCCCCTCCCCCCCTCAAAAAAAAAAACACCGTAAAAAGTTTGGATAATATTTTCTAATATTTGTGATATTTTTCGCTAGTTCCACAGAGGCTTCAACATCTCACACTGCTTCGGTACTGGCAGTCTCATAATGCTTCTGATAAATGCGCTAGGCATACAAAACCTTAATTTTTCAAAGGAAATCAGTCAAGTCCTACTTCTTTAACATGTAAAACTCACCACCTTTCTTTTTTTGGCTACCTTTTAAAATGAAACTTTAAAATAAGTTTCACTGGCGAAAATAGTCTTTCTTGTAAAACAATTTTTTTAGATTTTGAATAAAAATGAAACTTTAAAATAAGTTTCACTGGCGAAAATAGTCTTTCTTGTGAAACAATTTTTTTAGATTTTGAATAGAAATTTTTCGTAAGACCAACAATAGCCCACAAAACCCACTTAAGCAGTCATCATACTGAATATGTTCACTTGAGAGACATACCACTTTTGCAGCATTCAGAAGAACCACTGTCCTCAGGTTTGCGAACAATGACTGCTTCACTTTCCCGTAGTCATCCGGTAAAGTACCACGGATCAATTTCTGATGACTGAGATTACACACCTCGTTCGCTTCTGTGCTCCAGAAACGACCTTGGCACGCACTACAAAGCCCCACTTGGAAAGTCTGCTTTGGAGCATCGAATTCTCCGTTTAAACAAGCGTTAAGCACCTAAGAAAACTGAATTAGTAGACTGTGAAAAGCAAGAAAATGACGAATAGTAGGGTTTGGCTCATTTCTTACTCCGCGCAGAGTTTTAGAAACTGTGTCAAAGGATTACCGAAGGTTACAAAGGTCTACAAATAGGAAACCACTATAAGCCAAGAGACTGTATGATACTAGTCTCCAAATTCAATAAGAGTATCTGCTAGAGGTTTCCTCCCAAAACCCTATTCTACGTTTAACATCCTTACAGATGTCTTAAGAAATGATTTGTGAACTGGAAAATATCAAAAAACTATAGGAAAAAACGGAATTCAACAAGAAACGGAATGAACAAAAGGTTTCGAAATTTATTTTTACTTTTTATTTTTACTTCTTTCATTGTGACGAGGGAATAAGATTACTGAAAGACCGAAAATTGAAAAGTCACCAGCGAACCATTTTATTGATTTCAGAAGCTGCAGAATCCAAAGAAATACCACGCAAACTCTCAACCAGTCCATGCACCTCGGTGAAGTTCCATGGGTTTTTGCTGAAAACTCGTCTGTTCAAAAACATGCTGTCAGCCCCATCAAGAATGAAAAAACGGTACATGCTTTAATAAACATATGAAACTTAAAAACTTTAGATCCATATACTAATTGTCAAAAACAGGCGTTTCTCGTCGTGCGGCCGCATTAAAAAGATGGTGCAAGCGGTGGCCTCCATAATATATACCGTACGTAGCTGCACAACCTCTGGTTGTTAGTAGAGGATCATATATATCAAATGGTAGAAACCCTTACCAGCTTTTAACTGTCTATATTTCACTAACAAAAAGCGATGTTCCTTAGTTTAACAGATTTTTAGAAATGACGTTCAGAAAGCATAAGTTCCTTGTAGTCTATTTCGAAAGGACTGTTTTGCTCTGACCACCAAAAGAGCAGAGTAAGAGGGATCACTTATGGCTAATTACTTTGTTTGAACGCCCTATAAACAAGGCAACGAATAGACTAAAAGTCTTCGCTACACCGTGAAATGAGTTTGGAGGTATGAAAAAATTTTAACTGAATTCCCAAATTTTATGGCTAACTCGCGGTTTGCCTTTCTTAATCTAGTTGAAATTAAATCCTTATAAAGTTCGGCCCTAATTCCTGCCATACGTGGAAAACTTGAGAACGAACCAAACTAACTGTGAAGCTCACCATCTCCTCACTCTCACTTCTACTTTTACGACGCTCTAGCTACTGCTTGCAACGTGATAAAAAGATGAGAAAAGTTTTCACAAGCGTATTCAGCAAACTGTCTATTGAATTTATTTAAATTTAATAGTCATATCACCTAAAAACTTAAAGATATTGCCCATTCGTAGGGCCAGCACATACTAAAAACTTACTAGTCGCTTCTGCAAACCCCATTATTTTCACCAGACCTCAATAATGACGTTAACCAAATCTCAGGTTTCACTTGACGCATCCTATCAGTTTCATAAAAATTTTCAAACTTCTGCAGCACTTGAGATTGCTGATGGCTGATCATGCTCTAAAAATTATCCTTCTTTTTAAAAATGGCTTCAATATAGAGAGTACCGATAAGCCTTTCCATGACATACGTGAATAAATAAAGTAAAAGATTTACAACGAATGACTCTTCTCTGTTTATGGTAAAAGTCGTCAGATTGAACCGCAGCATCTCCTTCTGTAGATCTGCGAAAAACTGAGTAGATCTTATGATACTCTGCAACCGTGTTGATTAAAACCCAAAACTTTCGAGCGGCAAAAAAATTTAATTGTTAAAAACTACTGTCTCTATAAAGTGTATTTATCGCTCCGTGAGAGATCGTAGTGACAAAATAGAATTTTAAAAATGGTCTAACGCTTAAAATTTGTTAAAAGTAGAAAACATAAAGCCTAACGTCATGTATTTTTGAGATCCTCTGTCCGTTAGCAGGGCGTTTGGGTGAATACTTCTCGCAAATCAAATATACCTTAAAACTGCTCGACTGTACCTTTTTATGTATAAAAAACGTTGTAATAGAACTTTTTCAGAGTAGGAGGTAGGCTAAAAAAATATTTAAAACCTCAAACTGTAATTCAGCGGAAAAATACTTTCCAATCTAAAAGGTTGAAAGAAAGCCCTCAAATAGTATGATCAATACAAGCATACAAACCTCTGAGTTACCTGGTTTACTGCACGAGGGTTTGAAGACGTGCACATCCCGAAATAGGTCCACAAGATTCAAGAGGATTCTCACAGTTTCGTCCTTGGTAATAGCGTACATTTTTACAACGAAAGAACCTTCTTCCAGCAGCAAACGTAAGGCAATTTCAACTTCAGCTCTAATTAACGGAAGCGTCAAAGATTCTTGTTCTAAAGGATCATCCTACAAAAACGAATTGAAATACTCAGAAATTTTTAACCAGACAGTAAAATGAGGACAAAAGAGGTTACCGAGACTAAAAAGATAGCTCATAACTTAGCAAATTATGCCAAAACTATTTTTGGAAGAGATAGGGTAATGCAAAAAAACAAATTGGTAGGCGTCGTCAACAAGAACAAAAAAACCAAAATTGGTTGAAGACGTTCTCTCGCCTTTTCGAAAGACAATGGTTAGATAGATGTTTTAAACTTTAGTGTAGACACAACGCGATATTTCTGAGAGTTTTTCATAAAATAATGACAAGCAAAAGTGAATAAATACAATACTGTTCAGGGTGTATATAAAATAGTAAGACTTCTCTGAAGAAGCCTATTAAAAATTGTTATTTCTACTGTCATATAGTTTTTTTTGCCTTCGATTTTTCAAAGGCTTCATTTGCAAAGATAATAAGAACTGAGAAAGATAGGCCTATAATAAAGCACAAACTTGAGCACTCAAAAGTAGAAGAGCACTGAAGGAGATCATTTTTTTTTCAGTCAAATAGAAAATCTTAGTAACACAAATAAATGGTGAACAGAAAAAGAAAAAGTTAAATCAAAGAATTTTTTTAGAAATAATTATACCAAATTCAAAAGTACTTACTTGACAGTATAAACTTCCATCTGCTGTTATAAAATCAAAACCACCTGTGGAAAGCTTCATACTATTTACATATTTTTCGTCCCAATTTAAAATGTCGCCGCTGTTGTCTGGACCAAAAATCCAATGGTCATAAGTAGCAGTGATTAATTCATCATCCAGAAACAACGAACAAGGCTCATTCCATTCATAGTGTGGATTCAAACTGAAGTGCCAAAAAAGTAAAATTATATACAGCAGTGCATTTACAGAAAAGTCATACGGACCAGAGAGGTCCCAATATTAAATAAACTAGTAAGATGTTGAGAAAAAAACAAAGCGTTCTACTTTAAGAGAACGAATTGTGGGAGAAAAGAAATGAAGGGAATTACTTAAAGTAACATATTAACCTGTTAGCATACCAAACCCAGCTTTTTCTAAGAACTTCACGGTATAAAAAAGTGTATACATTTATCGCCGATATAAACGCACCAGGCGCTTCACAAAGATGTAAGGACCTGTTGTGACCTGCGATCAATGACTGGCAAAAAAGTTATTTTTTATATGCTACAAAATCATACAAAACTCCTACTAAAACAACAAGGAAAATCATGCGCGTATTTCAAAAGTGCAACCAAATTCCAGAAAGAGTTAAATCAGTTTTGAATGTTCAAATCTCAAATCAAAATTCTCCTGCAAAAAATATAGTGTGAAAAACTGTGGCTTCAATTATGCCAGTTACGTGGTTTCGGAAAACTTTTATCACACAACGTTGAGAAAATAATTTTTGAACTTCATCATAACACCGAAAGACTCACAACGCTACTCAATGAGTCAACATAGCTGAAAAGCAATGGAAAAAGAACCAACCTGAAAGGCTTGCCTAAACGAGGAACGGGCGGAATGAGGTTTGGAAAGCGATGCAAGATTTCATAGAGCTTTAAAAAAGCTTTGGTGCAGTATTCCAAATCAAAAGCGTGCGACAAGTGGAAGGGAACTTTCTTAGTTGGATTCGTCAACCAAGTATGACGTCGCCATTTGCAAAGCTGATCGGATGGGATTTGTACCTTCAAGTTTAGCTTTCGCTTCATAAAAATATCTTCAACAAAATTATCCTACAGCCAGTTCTGCTTTTGTCAAAGGTGCAATTTCCGCAAGAAGTAAGCAATTAATAACACAACGATAGGGACTAAAATACGCAAAAAGCTGGAAAGTGTTCATCTACTTCACCTCCTCCTTTTTGAATTGACAAAAAAACTTCTATGAAGAAAAGAGAGACATTTGAAAAGACTTGTTACAAAATTTACAAAGGAAGTTAAAGTAGCGGAGAAACACCACCTTCAGCGAATTTACGGCTGAGTCGATCGCAGCTAAACGATGAAGCATACATTCGTAAGAAAGCGTTTCTGTGGTTTCCTTTTTCAAATCAAAACATTTACTAAATAAACCATCCACTATGCGCTGATAAGCGTCTTGCAATAACTCTTCATCGACACCACCAGCTGCCATTCCATTCACCCCACTCAAAACTTACACCATCAACAAAAAAACGCTAGACGAGAATTCTGCAACAACCACATTTAACTCAAATCTACTTTTAGAGCCGTTTTCTCGCTTCATATCTGAAAAATACCGGTCTCCAATCCTAAACTTGCAGTAGATAAATACTCCTTAACAGACTGCATCACGAGACGCTTGAGTTAAGTGATAACCCACCAACCACCTCTATGATCTCGGTTTCTGCAGGGAAAAGTTTTGCCCCTCGTAAGCTCCTCTACAAAATGATGGCTCTATGTTTCGAAAGTGTTGGAACCCTTGAGCATCTTTAACTTTTTGTTTAATCTTACCGCCCACAAACCCAATAAAATCTCTTTTAATCTTTCTTTGCCTTTGGCTTGCTTGGGCTCGGAACGACTTTTTACAAACATTCATTTGTTCATGCACGGTTCTTACTCCTCTTCCGTTATGTCCGCACCCTTAAAATCTCGTGGCTGAAGTTCTTAAAAGCCACACTTCATTGTCTTATATTATCAGATCCTACATCTTCCGACTGACAAGAGCCTTTCGTAAAAGCACCTTAAAAAACCTAAAGGAAATAAATACGTAGTAATAAAGCTGCACGTTCGTCACTGAGACCTAGTCGGTAATTGAAGCTGTATAACTGCAAACATTGCAATCGTCCGCTACCACCAATGCACTTGATCAAACCAGCTACCCCTATTATTTAACCTTTCTGTCAACAAAAACTAAAATGTCTTGTCTTTCCCCCTTTCTGTTTCTTCGTTGAAAACACGAGAGCAGATTGCATTAGAAAACTTTATCACCACTGTCCGGTTCCCACTTACCGCACTGATCAAGCTGTGTAACTTTTACTACCGCCCTTTTCCCAGTAACATTGGCCTAATGCGCATATTTTCAGCTTCTTCGTAAGTTTTTTTAGTAACCGTTCTACAGTAAAAATTTCAGCTTCGTCTCATAGGTCCCGCACCTCCATTATCCTATCCAATTACAATCTCATTAACTGTAAAAGCGACCTGAAAAGCGAATATCCTCTAGTTTTTCGCATACACACCTCTGAATCAGTAAATAAACAATTTTTTGGAAGTGAAATAACTACTTCTTCAGAAATTAGTTATGGAGAGCTATTAAGAACCACTACTTAAAACTTATTTGCACCATTTTTACTGCTGTAAATGAGGATTACTGTTCAAGATCTTGTGAGCCCGAAATCACAAAATTTAAGGTCTCAGTCATGCAGCTTTTTGGTCAAGGTCTAACATTACGCATAGTAACGTTCAATTACAAGAGAAGCATCAAAAATAAAACATTAATGCACAATCATACACCTAAACGACAAAGACTAGAAGCACTTCCACCTGTTTTCCTTAGAGGTATAAACATGTTTTTTTTTTTTAAATTAGGGGATTCAGAAAGCACAAGTCTTAAAACTTCAAAAAAAATTTTCCCGTCAATACAAACGTGCCTAATGGACAGGAAACAAATTTTTTGGGAATTTGGAAAAGTCTAATTAAGGTTCCTGAAAAAAGACAATGGGGAAGCACCAGAACGGTTACAACAAAGGTATAATACAGCTTACATGACAAATTTATACATGACTTTTTTAACTTTCCTCAATTAATATTTGAATTTGAAAAAAAAAGAGTCAAAAATGGAGCATAAACTGCTTCTTCATATTTTGCCGTTACGAGTTTACTTGGCAGCGAAAAAACTTACAATCAACTTTAGTACAATAAGACTCCGAAAAAATAATGAACCCGAACAGAAAACTATCAAGTGATCAACTTTAAAACGGCATGCTCAACAGACGTCAAACATATCTCGATAATAAAAAAACAGAACCAGTTCCTAAATCATTGCTTGCGGAATTTTTTTATCTTAAAAACACTTAGCGTTGAATGAACAAAGGATATGGTGATTTATATTAGCACTGGATGATTACTGCTTAAAATGTACAAAAAAAGCAATACGGTGTGGTATCTGGTCAAACAAAGAATGCGCTTCCTAATATCAAACGTATTGTACTATTCTTTTGCAGAGCAAAGTACTTCTGTACAATTAAAAAAGAGACAAACTAGCTCTTATGTTATTTTTGAACGTCTTTTGAAAGATGAAACTGTAAAAGCAAGAATAGCAGAGATGTTAACTAAACATATTTAACCAGTCATTTCAACAGACCTTTATCTTACTTCCCTTCAACCTCTTAGTTTACTTTTGTTTCAAGTCATTTCTACTTCTTCAACTTTTAAATGGGAAAAAAATGAACTGCTAACCAAGCAAATATCATCTAACTTGACTAATAAGGAGTGTCCTTATACAAACATACAAGCAGTAGCAGTCACTATGTACAGAAATTGGCACAGCTAATGAATTCTACTGAACTAATGGCGAAAAATCTGGATGACAAATCCGTAAATAAAGCAAACCAGGTTAGAACACAAAAACACTACTCAGGTTTGGCTAGAGACATCGAAGAACAAATTTGTATAAAATATTTCTGCAAAATAATTAATATTAAAGAGTTTAATACTAAGCAACAGAAGTTAGAGTATAAGGGTATGTCAGTGATATTTAAAAGAATTGTGACGACCGAACAATTAGCATTAGTATTTTTCACACTGGCAGTCCAAACAAAAACTCTTACTTCGTCAATTCAAAAATGCTTATTTAACAAAGTCTTGATAAACTGTACAGCACTTGTAAGTTGTGCCCACCAGTACGCCTCTTCTCCTTCCATTCTATCACCATAAAATGAGCTTACGTACTGGATGTTTGACAACAGCGCTGGCGGATTTGCCTAAAACACCAATGAACACTGAGAATCATGAATACTGAGGCACAGAACTGCTCAGATAAAAATAAACAGAAATTTCAAATCCAAATTTTAAATGAGCCATAGAATTATTAGCTGTGTCAAAAAACTTCCGCCTGAAAGTATAATCATATAGGCAAGAAAAAATTATAGACTCACAGATTATGGTCTAAGAATCATACTATGCTAGCCTCAAAACCCTCAAAAGAACGAAAGTTCTAACACAACATCTGCCTTATTTAAAAGGCAAAGGATCTGCTACATTACAAGTCCTCTAGCAACACCAAAATCACTTTAAAAGCCTCCAAAGAATACGTTACAAATCATTTGAAAAAAGCATCAGTAAACTTCAAATAAAATAAGTAAAAACCTTGGACTTTTTGCTATATAAAAAAAAACTCTGGGGTAGAGGAGTCATTAGATTCAGAGTTAATCTAAATCAAGTAAGACGGGATAAACGATTTTAACTCACTTTAAGGAAATCCCGTTTTCCAGTTAAGTAATTACTATTTTTCTGTAAAGTCTCACTTCTTTCTTCCAAATTAACTCAACAGCTGAATTTTAGTAAAGTATACAACAAATTTCACTGCTGGCAAACTTAACTGGCTGCGACTCTAAATTCAAAAAATCGTCAGCTGTGGAAATTTTTCACTCTGCGGAACAGAATATTTTACACAAATCGCTTTTTCTACTATTTTTTTCTAACGTTTCATTGTGCTTCTCCACTGACTGCCCAAGGAATGATACGATATATATTACTTGAGATTTTAAGATTACGCTCTCATAGCGAAAAAACACCGGTAATCTACATTTAAAAACCATCAGTACACATAAAGTGAGCCTGGCATGCAAAAAAAGGTGAATTTTTACACTTGGAAGAAGGTAACTTGGTACAAAGTTCACTTCCCCAAATGCGTTTTTTAATATCTGAAAACTTGAAAATTCAGCTAAAAAAAACAAACGCCATAATATGGATTGAACAAACTGCAATTTCTATCCTACCTGAATAAGGACATACACCAGTACTGGTGTTATATCATCTGCCGATGGAACAGTGCGACCACTCGCTAGTATAAGCAGATTCTGAATCGTTTCGCAGCAACGCACAACACAAGATAATTTATCTCTCGGTGATTTGTACGCGTTTATTATAGTTATTTCTGCCTGTGCAGAAGGCCAGGGGCACTCACCATGAAGCCTCTAAAGCCGTTGATAATGTCAGAAGCATAAATTTCAGAAAAAAAATAACCGAGTTACAATTTTTCCAATGATTCATAAACACTCTAAAAAGCAAAATACCAATTATAGAGCAACACAAACGATTACACTTTGCAATGTCCTTTTTCAACTTACCGAAGGTATTTTCAATTCCGGATGGACTGGAGTGATTATTTGAGCCAGTCGTGAGAGAGATTTATGAAACACACTAGAAAACATCATGTTACATCATTTAGTTCCGAAAGATATTTAAAAAAATAGTATGCCAATGATAGTTTGAAAAATGCGGCGCTCACTAAATATTCTGATATAATTTTGCTTACCTATCCCTACATTGATCAGCTTCCCCGTTGGGATAAAGAGCAGACGTGTATATTTGGGCCATAAGGGATCTTTCGAGGCTCTTTTTAGCATACGCTATACGTTCAAGGTCAGCAAACTGCCAAATTGGTTCTTGTACTAATTGCCCATATAAATACGCTAATGTTCTTTCCACTGAATCCATTCTTTCATCCTAAAACAAGAGCAAATTGAAGTGATAAGCCAACCATAAACTCACCTGCCAGCTTGAGATGCTATGTACATCCCATATCTATTA